ATGTCGACATTTTGGTACATTCCAAGACATACTTTTCTAATGGTCAAGTTTAGAATCTTGTAAAAGCAGGCAAGAGTGTGCTGGCATCCACAAATCTGAAATCAATTACGGAACTGGAGGCGTTATTGGACAACTTCTTAATGTAGTACCGAAACGCGATACTTGCGACTATCAAGGAAGTCCGACAAAGCTGTTTAAGTAACGGTGCTTGAGGTCTTTCCTGAGATGTATGAATTCTACTGACGTGACCTACTTGAGGAGCAACGATCTGTGTCCCGTTTGTGGCATCATCACCAGAACTTTCATCAGCAAGTGGTGGGAATAGCCAATTAAATAGGTGCATGTATCCATCGAGGACATGTAGATCAGATAAATTTCAGAGACGAACGAACTATCGGTGCATCAAAACCCTATGGAGAAGTGAAAAACCCTAGCCATTTCGAATCTCCTGAATCCGACGACTTGGCTCCCAAGTATTATACTGCTGAACAAGTAGGTGAAGTACGAGTGGCGGAATTAGGAGCCTCATCCCGTGCAACGGCACGGCGATCACGGTGAAAAGCAAGTCAAATTGATGAGACGCACTTGAGAGAGGAAAGTGTTGATCGTGCAAAAAATATTGTAGTGATCCTAGCCTACGAGACGAGCAAACAACGAAGCGACACGTTACAGTTTTCGGACAACTGTTATGAATCAAGCTTCCCAGGTGACGTCAACAAAGTGCCTACGTCTTACAGCTTCTGGACTACAAACCACCAGTCGATTATACCAACCAATCAGGAACGGTGTGGCTCAGACAGAAGCTGTACAACGCCAGAAATGCTAGCACGCGGTTGGTAGAGACTTGAATGACCAATGAAGTTGTTTTGTCCATATCATTTAATCCCGTGATTTCTTTCAATAAACGAACTACCATTCCTGTGGCCTTCTCATGGCGTCTCGCTTAGGTGGGATACTGTGGTGCTAGTACGAGTGTGATTCAGTGTTTACGTAGTGTGCGTGATTTCTAATACGTGATTCGTATTTTGTGATCAGTAAGTACTACAACAACTGCAACTACTACAATTATGCAGGCACCACAGTACAGTCATTTAGGAAATGGAGTTCCCGACCTCTCCTGTAGTCTCCACTGACATCAAGCGGATTAGCTGAGTGCACGAATGCAACTAACTGAACCATATCGTTGTCGATTGGACATCGAAGAATCGATCAACGATTGTTTGGTGCTTGTGATATTCATTATCATGATTTTCCGAATAGAATTAACTATATCCACAGTTTGAATTGGCTATATTTGATTTTGCACCATTCATTGGGTTTTCGGTTCGAATTCGACTTTGCTTTAGTTGATTCCGAATCCTATTTCAAACATTAAACATCCTAAACTCTACCGGTTAAGCGGCGGTTCAGGTTTTTCGTCTGCTGCTATGGGCTGAAACTTAGGTAGTACATGTACTGCTCGTCTATGGTTTCTTGTGATGGATGCAACGACGAGTTTAGCCGTCTGCTGGTTGAGACAAGAACACGTTTAGAAATGCAAGACCATCCATGGATTCTTTTCAAATATGAACTGTTTTCGGATTCGTTGAAATTCTCCAACATAACATTGGGATACCTTTCAGTATCTTATACACATGTAGTATCATCTACATACCGTTTTTAAACAGTAGACTCCTACGGATTTTGAGAGCGCACCGTTTCCTAATTGGGTCATGAAGATGTCCCACAGCCAGTTCATCTTTCTGTCTATACGTTTCACCTTTGCGTGTCATTTCTGCTTATGTAATAAGTCGGATAAATGTTCTTGAATTTTCTATATAACTACCAATGAATTCAATTCACTCTTGGATTAGTGAATATGTGAATAATTATACAAAATCCAGCGAGAGCATCTGCTTCTTTGTTCGGTTGATGGGTGTAGTGTGGATGTGATCTCATCATCCTTCAATGGGGAATATTTTCGCACCTCAATTGAGTCAGAGAATGGTATTTACTAGGACAGCGATGATTATGCATTGTAGTCTGATGATTCTGTCTCATTTTTTAGGTATGTGTGGTGATCCAGACGTACGTGACCGCACTTCAGGCACGATCAGACACAGCTTCATATCATCCAATCAAATTTCAGGAAGTTGGACCAATGGTACATCGACAGAACATTACATCAGAGTTAGTACAAGCGGTGCTTCTGTGCAAACGGTTACGTGTTTGGAAAATGGTCCTTCAACCAATGATATGGCCTATTACTTTCTATAAAACATGCTCTATATCTGTCAACAAACATTGGCTCTTGCTGTCACCAACTCTCAGTGTATTTCATTGGTGTCCGCAGTTCGGGCTGGAGCCAATCCAGTTCTGAGTATCACAGTACGGATTCTCGTATTCCTATATTCAATACTATTTCGATTACCATAGTATGTTTGTTTGAGTCGCATAACATTTCTTATACAGTCACTTTGTTGCACCTCTCCGGGATTTGAAGAAGGGGGTAACTTCCGGAAACTGCGGTACAGCATGTGATCCACCTACAGATACTTTTGATCGATATGAAAAATCGGTTGGGATTTTCGTGATAAAATAAACGTGATGGATAAAAAGCGTTTCTTGAGTTGCATGCTCCGATTACTCATTATTAGTTACTGATTATTTAAAGCGGAATTCAAATGAACCATCTTGCGTGATCTTTATGCATCGAAAAACCGTGAAACCTCTTATAATACCCCAGTTTGACATTTGTACACCGCAACTGATATCCAGCCCCTCTCTAGTTTCAACTGTCTTGTTTTCCAGAAACTAGTTACCATTTTGGCGGGAAATTTTCCCTCTCCCATTACCACACATAATTTCTGGATATTCCTGCATAAATTAGCAATATTAGGTTAAATACAGAACCACCAAGATCGACGGTTTCAGCTATAATGCCTCCTCCGTTATAGTTGACGATTCGGACTACAACATTCAAACTCAAGTGAAACCTCTGTAAATTCAAGTGAATCTACCCGACTACATTTAAATGGAACTCAGACAAAGTGACCGTCCCAATCACCGATTGGACCGGGTCTATTAAACCACTGTCCAATCGGAATGAACTGATTTCCCCATAGACTAACAATGTACTTTTTACTTAAATTCTCAATCAGTGTGATAGTGAGCGAATCATCACCCGATTTTTCAATACACATTGTGCGGCGTGGACGGCACGTACTTGAACGACATCTAACCCGAGAATTTTCTACTTCATGGCCTTGAGGAGAATGCCAAGCGTTCCACAATGACAATAGTATAACGAAAACAGTTTCACATTAGGGTCTATATTAAGATTATTTCCTTGGTTTATCTATCGACAAGACATTCAATCAGTAACATCGATGGTATGTACACAGTGTGCCTCCCTATTCGAAAGGTACCACAGGAAATCGCCTCGGTAATATGCACGAATTGTTAAAAACTCACGCTATTTTATTCGCTTATGGGGAGATTTTAGAGGAGAATAAATATTGCCTTCATGACTGATCATGTTTCTTCGATATCAGATGGCTCGGCAATTTAGTGGCTTGGTGGTTACGGATGTTTATCAGAACCTCCCACCAATGTTCACTCACGTTCTTTCTGAATAACCGTTCGTGGTGGAACAGAACCCAGATTTGGGATGATAGAAAAATTCTGTCCTGAAACTTCCCAAATGTTGCAGTTGTGAGTTACTGCTAGCTTATTTTACCAACCACAGCGGAAATCCAGAATTAGGTCTGATCAAGGCAGGGCAAGCGTGTGGTACAGAGCTCATTGTGGGGAACTGTGCCGGTGAGGTTTAGTGAGCTCATCAAATGCACAATACTAGTAAAAGCAAACCTAACTCTGGAGGTGTCCAAGTTGCCATATCAAATGATAAGGTTTTCCCGAAAATATCACTATCGCCGAATTATGGTGATATGTGCCAAAATTTGACGGTAAACTTGACGGCGACCGATTGAGAAGAAATGTTTCTCATCTTAGAATGATATAACTAATCTCGGCCTAGTTCTTGTGATAATTAGGCGTGATCAAAGGGTCAGGTTACTACTGCATATTTGAAACTTGTTGGTTCTGATAAGTATCCCATGGTTATGTATTCATGTATTGATAGTCCTCAGTTACACAGCAATGGTAGAAAAAACTGAACCTGTCCTGCTGCTAGAAATACGAGTGTTTGATGAAGTTGCTTCTTCCCGTGATTTAATGATCATGTCCAGTCTACACGGATCAAACAGGAACATTAGCGAAAATAAAAAGGCCAGAAGACAAAACTGCAGTTGTTAAACTGTTCGGGTGTATATGATGTATCGTGTCATTAATTGATTCGTAATGATAGTACTGTAGCAGTCTTGGTTCTCATTGCGTTGAAAGCGAGACCTGACGCGTTACCTGTCGGCGGGCTTAAAATGGGATTACAGTCTATTCTAATTGCGCAAAAAAGCCATTCACACGGAGCTTATTTNTCACTCTGACACAGCGGTGAGTTGTTCGCTTTTGATGCGCCTTGATTCTAAGGTGTATTTTGACACAACCGAGCGCTGTCAGATTTCTGTTCAACCTAATTATGTCTGGAAGTACCTTAACGACTGTCCTGATCCAGATACCTCACGAATCAAGGTGTGTATATGATGTATCGTGTCATTAATTGATTCGTAATGATAGTACTGTAGCAGTCTTGGTTCTCATTGCGTTGAAAGCGAGACCTGACGCGTTACCTGTCGGCGGGCTTAAAATGGGATTACAGTCTATTCTAATTGCGCAAAAAAGCCATTCACACGGAGCTTATTTACTGTCAGTGTATGATGGGTTTAATCTTGTTTTCTCGCCCAGAGTATTCATAGCAAGGACATGAGTGATTGATATGATTGCTGTTCTGTATTAGAATACTCTGGCTAATACCATTTAATGCTCAAAGTTGTATTGCCTGCGGAAAAGTTGACCGACGAATATGGTATCTCATAACAGTATTGCTCTTGTTCAAATCATTCTCATCGATCCCCGTCCCCGTATTCGTTCTGGTTATCTCCCTCTGATTGTTCTTCTCCGTCTTCATTTTTATCTTGATTGTCTCCTTCAGATTGTTCCTCACCGTCGTTTACGTTCTGTTCGTATGCATCGGTTTGCTGGCCGTCGTCAAATACGTCCTCCTCGTCTCCTTCAGATTGTGCCCCGTACTCGTTTTCGTACTGGAAATCTCCCTCAGATTGCACTCCGTAATCCATTCCGTTTCTGTCATACACCTCAGATTGGTCTCCGTAC